GGTCCGTCTTTGGCCTTCATACTTAAATTCTCTGAGCCCGAGTGTCTGAGTGGCCCAGTGTGCCATAATCTGTCCAAGGATGAGAGTAGTCTTGATCTTCACAGTAACAAGGTGAAGCTGACTTTTTGTGTCATCGTGAATGACTAATGGACGTGTAGCCTGTCCTGCCTTTATTTGGCTTTTCAGGTCATTGAGCGTAAAGGCTGCTTAAAGGAGAACAGTGCTGATAGTTTAGCGTTTTCTCATTCTTCCCTCTCTTCTCACAGCTCGAAGACCCCCTGGCCGCCTTCCCAGCCTTCAAAAAATACGACAGAAATGGGTACGCACTGCTTTGTACACCCGCAGAGGATTTATTCAGTATCCCGTTCCATGAAATTCATTCTTGTTTTGTTTTTACCGCATGGAGGGAACAGCCGCTTTTCCCAGAGACACAGACTCATAAACTCACACGTTGACTTGTCCTCCCATTCCAGGCTGAACCTGCAGATAGAGTGCAAGAGAGTGACCGCGCTTAACCCGCTGTCTGTGGAGTGGGCTTTCGAACTCACAAGAGCCAACATGCAGACGCTGTAAGAAGTCTGTTCTCGCCTCCTCTCAGAGTTCGAAGTAGTTCAGGAACAGAGTGACCTATCTTTTTCAGAGCAGAGTGCAGATAGGCCAGAAATTCTTTTTGTGACATGAGATAAGGGCACATGGCAAGATGTGGATCTGAGGCCATGAATTAAACGCAGAATATAAAAAGAAGGTAGAGATTGAGTTACTGTATTTAATATTGTCTTATATTCAGTTTTAAACAGTATTTGTCCAGTTTAGAAAAATCTGAGAGCAAAGAATTACAATTATTGGTCCATACTCAAGTTTGTCTGCTGTCTTTCTGTTGCAGGTACGAGCAGAGCGAGTGGGGATGGAAGGAAAGGGAAAAGAGAGAGGAGATGAATGACGAGAGGGCTTGGTACCTGCTGGCCCGTGACGCCGACTCCTCCCCCGTGGCCTTCTCCCACTTCCGGTTCGACATAGAGTGCGGAGAGGAGGTTTTATATTGGTGAGGTACCCAGCTGTGTGTTTGTGGATTTCAGAAAACATTTCAAACCTCATTTCTGTTATTCTAAGTTTTATTTTTTTTAAATTTGCGCCTCTTTCTTCGCTCTGCAGCTATGAGGTGCAGTTAGAGAGCAGAGTGCGGAGGAAAGGGCTTGGCAAGTTCCTCATCCAGATACTCCAGCTCATCGCTAACAGGTAAAACACTTCGGTTGTGTGACTATGGGAGGGAACATTTTGGTGACTGTGAAGTTGGTTACAGCTGACTGTAACATCGCATTCACAGCACATTTATCATAACAAACAAATGCTAAAACATGGGCTACAGCCATCTTTTATATACAGTCTATGGTCACGCCTTCAGGTCACTTTACACTAAAGACAAGTGTTTCTTTTTTTTTGTCCTCTGTCCAGTACACAGATGAAGAAGGTGATGTTGACAGTTTTTAAACAGAACAAAGGGGCCTACCAGTTCTTCAGAGAAGCTTTACAGTGAGTATGCCGGCTCTTTAACGCTTAGGAAATATGGAGGGTTTAACTGTAATGAGACAAATGTTCAATGGACACTATATTATATTATATTATTATGGAATATGATATAAGTTAGTTGTCTGTGAAGCTTCTCAGTCACCCAGGTCATCGTAGTCTGTAATGACCCCAAGAGGGTCATGGACCCCC